GCCCGATGCGGGACTCGATCCCGGGACTCCAGGATCATGACCTGAGCCGAAGGCAGTCGCTTAACCAACTGAGCCACCCAGGCGCCCTAGACTATTCTTAATAGTCTGCTTTTTATTGAATTCAGATTTGCTAGAATGTGATGAATTAATAATTTGGGTTAGAATTAATGTAAGGTTTTTCAGTTTAACATCCTGTTATCTTTGTCTTTAATATTATTAATTGAGTCCTAAATTTGATACATTGCATTTCTTTTTTTTAATTAAGTTTTTATTTTAATTCCAGTATAGTTTACACTGTTGTATTAGTTTCAGATGTACAACATAATGATTCAGCAATTCCATATATCAGCTTGTGCTCCTCGTGACAATTGCCCTCCTTAATCCCCATCACCTATTTCACCCTTCCCTCTGGTAACCATCAGTTTTTTCTCTATAGTTAAGAGTCTGTCTTTTGGTTTCTCTCTCTTTTCTCCCCTTTGCTCATTTGTTTTCTTTCTTTCTTTCTTTCTTTTTTTTAAGATTTTATTTATTTGTTTGACAGAGAGAGACACAGTGAGAGAGGGAACACAAGCAGGGGAGTGGGAGAGAGAGAAGCAGGCTTCCCGCCGAGCAGAGAGCCTGAAGTGGGGCTGGGGCTCGATCCCAGGACCCTGGGATCATGACCTGAGCCAAAGGCAGACGTTTAAGACTGAGCCACCCAGGCGCCCCTCATTTGTTTTATTTCTTAAATTCAACAGATAATCATATGATTTTTGTCTTTTACTTATTTCACTTAGCATTATACTTTCTAGGTCCATCCACGTTATTGCAAATGGCAAGATTTCATTCTTTTATATGGCTGAATAATATTCCATTGTGTAGATATACCACATCTTCTTTATTCATTTATCAGTTGATGGACACCTGGGCTGCTTTCATAATTTGGCTATTGTAAATAACGTTGCTGTAAACATAGGGGTGCATGTATCCCTTTGAATTAGTGTTTTTGTATTTTTTGGGTAAATACCCAGTAGTGCAATTGCTGGGTCGTAAAGTAGTTATATTTTTAACTTTTTGAGGAACCTCCTCAGTGGCTGCACCAGTTTGCATTCCCACCAACAGTGCATGAGGGTTCCTTTTCCTCCACATCCTCACCTACACTTGTTTCTTGTGTCATTGCTTTCAGCCATTCTGACAGCTGTGAGGTGATAATCTCATTGTAGTTTTGATTTGCATTTTCCTGATAAGTGATGTTGAGCATCTTTGCATGTGTCTGTTAGTCATCTTTATATCTTCTTTGGAGAAATGTCTGTTTGTGTTTCTGTCCATTTTCAGTTGGATTATTTGTTTTTTGGGTGTTGAGGTGTATCAGTTCTTTATACATTTTGGATAGTACCTCTTTACCGGATATGTCATTTGCAAATATCTTCTTCCATCTAGTTTTGTTGATTGTTTGCTTTGCTGTGCAGGAGCTTTTTATTTGATGTAGACCCAATAGTTTATTTTTGCTTTTATTTCCCTTGCCTCAGGAGATATACCTAAAAAAATGTTTCTATGGCTGATATCAGAGAAATTACTGCCTGTGCTCTCTTCTAGGATTTTTATAGTTTCAGGTCTCACATTTAGGTTTTTAATCCATTTTGAATTTTTGTATATGGTTCAGTTTCCTTCTTTTGCATGTGCATTTCAATTAAAAACTTAAAAGTATTCAGTTTTAATCGAAATACAATAAATCAGGGGTGCCTGGGTGGCTCAGTCGGTTAAGCAGCTGCTTTCAGCTCAGGTCATGATCCCAGGGTCCTGGGATCGAGCCCCGCGTCGGGCTCCCTGCTCAGCGGGGAGCCTGCTTCTCCTTCTCCCTCTGCCTGCCTCTCTGCCTACTTGTGCTCTCTCTCTCTCTCTGTCAAATAAATAAATAAAATATTAAAAAAAAAAGAAATACAATAAATCAAATTTAAAAATCAGGTGTATATTAGAGAATTCATTTTACTTGTTTGTTTTTAGGCACCCATCAATTATTTTTATTGATGAGCTGGATGCACTTTGTCCTAAGAGAGAAGGGGCTCAGAATGAAGTGGAAAAGAGAGTGGTAGCGTCACTCTTAACACTGATGGATGGTATTGGTTCAGTAAGTATAGCACCAGTATCGATTCTGTGTAGGAAAGGGTTGACTCCTAATAATATGTATGTAGTAGCAAAAAGTATCAAATATGTCTGAGTTTTGGGGTATTCTAGGATAGGGAAAAATATTAAAAACTAAAGGAAAGACCCATAAAATAATTTTCTTCAGCAGATATCTTAGTAACTTCTAGGAGGGTATACTGCCATGTTTTTCTAGCATATAAAATAATATACAATGATGGATTTCTTTTGTAGTAAATGGTATTAACTTAAAAGCCTGAAGCATAAATCAGTAAGGTTCAGATCAATAAGAAATTTCGTAACTCTTATTTGCTCATGTAAAAATTGATTCTTTTGGGGCTTTAGGTTTAACAAGTGAAAGGAAAGTAAGAATAATGGAAAATATGTACAACATTTAAAAATAATTACCCATGTTACCAGTTTCTCTGATAGGGCATACACTCGCATATTAATAAAAACTACATGTTGATTATGAAAGGAAGATTCATAGGAGTGTGACAAGAATGAAGAAAAATTCTCTCAGACCCCTGACAGCCATTTACCAGATACATTTCTTATGCAGGATTGTAAATAATTCATTTTTTTAGAGTTATAATATGTTAGAACCAAAGGAAATTTTAGAAATCATGTAGTCCCAAACCCTCCTTTCTTTGCGCATTAAAAAACTGGATAGTTGGAACTTTCTGGTTTTTACTACCTATTGGTAGAAACTAAACATGTGAAAATAATGTGAAGGTTGGGTTTTAAGTCTCCATTATTTGCTAACATGTGTTACAGTTTTTTAAAAAAAACTTATTTTAGAGAAAGAGCATGAGCGCTTGTGAGCGCATGTGTGCAGGTGGGGGGAGGGGCTGAGGGAGAGAGAATGTTAAGCAGACTCCCCACTGAGCGCGGAGCCCAGCATGAGGCTCAGTTCCACAACCCATGAGATCATGACCTGAGGCGAAATCAAGAGTCAGACACTCAACTGACTGAGCCACCCAGGAGCCCCATGTGTTACAATTTTAAGAGTAACAGAAGACTTGATACCTGAGGGGAGGCTGGATGACCACCTGGTTCTTAGTCTTGGTGCAGTAACTTGGTGTGATTATGTCCCAGGTTTGGTTCTCAGCCTTTAAAATTGGAGAATTCAATGATGCTAGTATGTTGGGGGTGGCAGGGCTCTGAGGACTTCACCACAGTAACAATACTCACAAGAGACATACATTAAACTGGGATGCTAGTTTGTCTATTTACAGTAAGTAGAATCATTAAGCTGACCAAGTATCTTTGTTTATGGATGACTCTTTCCACCTTGAAGGCTAATATGAATGGAGAGCTGTATTACAATTAGAAGAGTTCTGGTGAGTATGAAATCAGATGGAAGGCTTTGTTTTAGAGGATCTTAATTACTACATCATTGCTGCCTCTTTCTCTGCTGCTGGGATAGGTCTGCTGCGGACTTGTGTTTTTGCCCATGGGCAGGACTGGAAGCCTGTGACATGGATGTTTTAGTATGAAAATGCTTAAGGGCCTGTATTTGTCTTCTAAATTCATAATTCATAGATTTATTGTAATCCATGCATTTTCTGTTGGCACAGCCAGTATAAGTGAATAGGTTTGAGTTTCCTTACTTTGAATCCCGTGTCAGTTAAGCTTGTCTCTGTGAGATTATACATGGTCATCAGAATAAAATCTTGGATAACTTTCACAGATGGCTGATCATTATCTTAGTTCTTTATAATTTGTTGTTCCAAATTTCATTCCTATGTGAAAAATTCATATGCATTCAAGGGTGGCTGATACTCAGGTGTCGGTTATATCATCTGTATTTCTCGGAATTTAAACATTTATCAGAATAAAAAAGTACAGTCCATATATGAATAAGATTTCTTAGACAACTGTATAATAGAGCCTTGTTCTATTTGCATAATATGCAGGTCATAGTCTTTGCTTTAAAATAGGGGAAAAGGACAACTTAAACAAATTAGAACAACTATATGGTAGGATGTTATATGTTCCTATTTATGAAATGGTGAAGTTTAGATGCCAAAAGTGGGAAAGAAATCACTTACTGTAGTTGGAAAGGTGTGTAGTGGAAAACTTTCTCAGTGAGGGAGTATTTAGGCTGAACTTAGGCAAATGTTGGGTGAGTAATTAAAGTGTAAATGATAAGACAGCAGCCTGGACACTTAGATCTTGTTTATATAGCCAGTGCGTACATATATACATATATACACACACACACACACACATACACATATACATATACATATTAGAAGAATGTGTAATTTATTCTCATTTTATTTTGAAAGGAAGGAAGTGAAGGACAGGTGTTGGTCCTTGGGGCCACAAATCGCCCTCATGCCTTAGATGCTGCACTTCGAAGACCTGGACGATTTGATAAAGAGATTGAGATTGGAGTTCCTAATGCTGCAGATCGGCTAGATATTCTCCAGAAACTGCTTCAAAGGGTACCCCATTTGCTCACTGAAGTTGAACTGTTACAGCTGGCAAATAGTGCTCATGGATACGTTGGAGCAGACTTGAAAGCCTTGTGTAATGAAGCAGGTGAGAGTGCTTTGCTACTGTGAGTCTGTATTGATGGGCTTCATAAATCTGGTTTATTTACATACTTACAATTTATATCTTATTTCTTAATGGAAATAGCTAATTTTTTTCTAATCATAAAATATATATTTATTGAAAACTAGATAATTCAGAAAACTATAAAAAAGAAACAAAAATCACTCGTACCTCCTGAAGGTAACCACTATGGCAGCATATATCCTTTCACACTTTTCCTAAGTACACACAGACACACACATACACATGTATCATCAGATGCATTAATGGCAGTATTGATGATAACTATTTATTGATATTGTGCTATGGAAATTAGGGAGAAGTGCCTAAAGGAGGATCAAAATTTTCCTTAAGGAGCAGCTTTGTATTTTTTGAAGTGCTGAAAAAGTACTTAGCAAAATCTAAGAATTCTATGCCTCAGAGTATGTGATGGTGATGTTTAAGTCTGAAAATATATAAGGACTGTTCATCAGTTGACTCTTTGACTTTAAGAACTTCACCACGGCATAAACTGTCTTTGCTTTGGAAGCCCTTAAGACCTTTTAACATTTGTGTAATTTTTCAGAGTAATTTTAACCATAAAAAATGTATTCGAATCAGGGCAGTTTTTATAAGCTATTGAAATATTTCATCAGGCAAATAAGAATTTACTGAAAAAATATCTGATTGTTCTTTTTGTTTTTATTTGTTTGTTTTTTGGTCCTAAGAGGATGTGTTTATTTTCTGGTAACCTCTAAAGGCTGTTCTAGTTTGTGACCTATCCAACATTTTCAAAAGGTGTGTTAAAGAAAGTTTAGCCCTTTTAGGTAATGGAAGAAATTGAGTTTTTTTAGTTACTTTAGAGCTTTAGTATAGAAATATGGTAATTTCTTCCAAATTATTGATTCATAGTTAATATAGTAGGCTTTAAAGACCCTTCCTTTAAGTCCTTTCATCTTTCTAATCTGGCTCGATATGTGCAGAGAAGAGAATATAGAACAAAAAACAGGTTGGAAAAGAAAATTTGGGAGGGATATTTAGGGGTCTTTGAATATCTTACTCTTGGTGGAGAAAATCAGTTTTGTTTTATTCTTTTTGAGCACTATCACAATTTCCATGTTAGAGGACTCACAGTTGGGGGAAACTGTAGGTTATGTAGATTACAAGGCAAACGTAAACATTCTTTTGGTGCATTTTGGTCTAGGACAGGTCCCTTTCTAACTAGTTTCTTGTGCTTCACAAGAAATGGTGGATTTAGTCATGGAAATGAATTCCTTAGCAATCAAGAAGCAGAATTATCAGTGGATAACTTTGCTTCCTTCATTCCATTAGGTGAAAATGAAGAGTGTGGATTACTGTGTAGGTATTGCTTTTGACTTGCCCATCTAGGAAAGGATTCATTCTTCAGTACCCTTTATCAAACGTTTTTTTTTACTTTCTCATATATTTCATGCACTCTAGAAGGCTCTGGGATTCTTGCTGTCTAGAAACACACAGTCTGAAGAAGGAAAGAGATTTGTGAATAACTACTTACACAGTGAAATATGTACTCATAAAACTATGGAGAATGTAGTGACTTTCCCTTTGGGGAAAGGAAATGCTGTGGTTATTTAGAAAAAAATCATATCTAAGAAGAAGCTTAAAAAAAAAGTTCTATAGGCAGAATGAGGGGTGGTGAGAAGGTGGGAAAGGGTAAACATTTTTTTGACTGATCCTCACATCAACCCTGTGATATAAGTATCATGCTCAGGAGAGGTCTCATAGCTGGTATGTGGCAGAGCTAGGATTTAAACTTAAGGTCATTTTATTCCAAATCTATGCTCTGCATCAAAATTAAATCATAAAACACACATTTTTGTCAAAGTGGTGTAAGGCTTTTTTGATTTAATTTTTTATTTCAAAGGTAAGTATAGTCCATAAATTTTGTCCTAAGACGTTGAGGGGAAATGTGATAATGTAATTTACATACTAGATGTAAATAGGATCATCTACTTTCATGGGCACTATAGTACCCCCAAGAACTTTAGGAGGATGACAAGAAGATTTGAAAGATTTTACCCTTTACTATGTTACATTAATTGAAAAAGTTGTGAAAGGATCAGAAGTAAGGATGGAGAGGGGCCTCCAACCTGAAGATAGATAGATAGATAGATAGATAGATAGATAGATAGATGGGGTATACTTGGCACATACGAGCAGTAAATAAATATTAACTTCTGTTAATGTGACTTAATAGTAATTTCACATTATCAGTATTGAACTGATTTTCTTTTTTCCTCTAGTCTAGCAATGAATTGGTTTATGAGAAGGTAGTTTTTAAAAAGATTAGCATTATAAGTAAAGTGTAGAGTAGGGAAAGTATGTGGTTTTGTGTATATTGTCTTAAATATGTATGTTGTGTTATGTAGTATCATTCTCTGTATAGCAGAATAAAGTTTAAGAACAGTGTACTAGGATTTTTTTGCAAGGCATTTTTCTAAAGAAGCAGGGAATGTAGTAGAAAACAGATTTTGAAAGTTGGACAGACCTGCTTTTAAAATCAGGCTTGTGATCTTGGGCACGTTCTTTGCCTTATCTGAGCCTTAGTTTTCTCTATTGGTAGATTTAGACGGTTGTGGCAGATGATATCTAAGTGCCCTTGTAAATATGACATTCCCTAGATATAAGGGAGGACAAGAAAGAAAGGGGGGAAATCAAAAGGAAAGGATAGGAAGGATTAGAAAAAGGAAAGGGGAAAATAAATACCCAAGTTATTTACTAAATATGTGCTGGCCTTATTAGCTACTTTCTTCCTACACCTGACCTTTCTGCCCTTTATTGTGTTCTCTTTTGTACCTGTTTTTCTGAATAATATAAACGTAAGTGATTAGTCAGGGCTTTCTTCCCCAGCGTTCTTAGAGATAATGCCACAAAGCAGACTAGTGTCAATTGTGAAGTTAGCTGCATTTTCTCATTGAAACAATTTTATAATTTCTGCCTATGGACTTTACATGAGTGAATTATAAATTTGGTTAATAGTGCAACTCAAAAGGAAAGATAAAACAACTCTAAAACTCGATAAGCATTAAAAATAGTAGGATTACATTCCAAGTGCTGTAAAATAGACATAAGCGTATCCTACATACTGAACACACGGGTATCTCCATATATTATGATGTATGTATTGAGCATAGGAAGAATAAACTCAGCTCTGTGGTAAATTTGAACTAGTCTCCTAGTTATTCTTCTCCACGAAATCCACATTCATTTCATATGTTCTCCATTCAGGATGGATGACTTGGAGCAGAGGTTCTCAGACTTCACCATGTATCAGAATCTCCTGGAGAGCTTAGTAAAACGGATTGCTGGGTGTGCTCCTTTCCAAGAGTTGCTGATTCAGTCTTTGGCTGCTGCTTGTGAATTCTAACAGGTTCCCAGCTGATGCTCTTGGTTTGGGGACCACACTTTGAGAGCCGCTAACTTAGGACATTGGTTCTTAAGCCTCATTGTGCATCAGGTTCACCTGGGAAGCTACACACACATTCCCTCTCCATGTTTAATTAAAGGAAGTAGGGAACTGGAGCCAGTATTTATGTTTCCCAACTGATTTTAAAGCAGCCAGTTGCAGTTGCTATGAGCAAATATTCTAAATTACTGGTTTAGGCCAGTAGTTCTCCAGTTTAAACCTGTCTAAGAATCACTTGTAGAGCTTGTTAAAACACAACTCTGGGCCCCATCCTACAGGTTCATTAGGTCCAGGTGGGGCCCAAGAATTTGCATTTCTATCAAGTTATAGGAGATACCAATGCTGTGGGTGCAGGGGCTATACTTTGAGAAGCAGTGATCTTGGCCCACCAACCCTGATTTTTGGAGACTGTAACTGATTTAAATAACTGGATAAATTTAGAGACTATAAATCTCTGCCAACCTCTGATGGTGTTGAGTTTTTCCCAGAGTGTTTATGTGACAGTAATGTACTATTCTGAACTGTATCATTTTTTTTTTTCTAAAGATTTTATTTATTTATTTGAGAGAGAGAATGAGAGACAGCATGAGAGGGAGGAGGGTCAGAGGGAGAAGCAGACTCCCTGCCGAGCAGGGAGCCCGATGCGGGACTCGATCCCGGGACTCCAGGATCATGACCTGAGCCGAAGGCAGTCGCTTAACCAACTGAGCCACCCAGGCGCCCCCTGAACTGTATCATTTAATTCTCCTTCTAGGAGAAAATAAGTGTCTAAGTTTGTCCTGTAGGTACATATAATGGTCTGAATAAAACTTTAAAATGACAATTCTGAAAGATAGAAAAGCCACAGTTAAGGAAACAGGAATTAACAAGAATACAAATAAAAATATAGATACATGTTTTTCCTAGAATGTTCGCTTGCTTAAGATTTGTGGACCTGTGTATTCTTTGAGTTTTTTGTGCATTGGCTGTCTGATGGTTTTCCTTCTTCTTGGACTGCCTTCTAGCCAGAGAAACCTTGCCCTTTTTAACAAAGGGTGGTACACAGATGTCTAATAATAGCATACAAATGAAGTGGTTCAGAATTTCATATAACCTAAGTGAATTATGTTTCCCATTGTTTTTGTAGTCTAAAGGTTATTGTTTGTGGGATACTAATACAAAAGATCAAAGTCCCTGTAGAATAAATTTGTTTGTGTATGCTTTTCCAGAGGCTAGAAGGTTTACAGTCTATTCTATAGTTTGTGAGAGTAATGCTGTCATCTTCTACAGTGTGCTTATCTCAGTTTTTCTAATTTTTTATTCCAGTGTTACTAAATATTTTCTGTATCTTTTAACTTTGTTTCCATAATGAATGTGAAAATTGGAAATACTACAGTAGTGTTGCTTTCAACACTTGGATCTTTTATCTGAGCAGATACAATGTTTAATGTTGAGCATTGGGTGTGAAACTTACTTTCAAATGTTATTTTTTTTATAATTAATTTTTGAGCTAGAGTGTGGTTTGATATGTTGTGACTTGTCCAAAAGCCTAATGTTTTGTAGCTCACCTTTTTAAGCAGAG